GCGTCGAGATCTCCTCATACTCTCTCATTGCTCAATGCAGCTCCAGCTCCTGTAGTCCCTGGGCAGCAATTGCCTCGGGAAGCTTTCAAGATGGTCGATGTATTGGTTGTTAACGAGGAAGAGGCAGCGGCTCTGGACCTTTTGCTGAATGGCACCAATGACTCCCTTGCCGATGTGACGAAGGATCCCAAAGCAGCAACAGTGTTGGCTGATAGACTGCTGAGGACTTCTGGAGCCAAGTGGTTATGCATCGTGAGTCTAGGTGGAGCTGGATGTGCATATGCTTGTGTGGATGGGAGTAGTGGTGCATTACCCTGCCCTGCTGCCCCGTCGGATAAGGATAAGTACTGCACATCGACTGTGGGGGCTGGTGATTGCATGGTCGGAAGTTTGGCCGCCATGCTGGCTGCTGGGGAGAAAAATCCCGAGAGGTGAGTCTCCATCAGATCAGTGATAGATGACGGCCCTATGCTCTCATTCTCAGGCTCTGCAAGCTCTCTATGAGTGTAGCGACACAAGCTGTTTTTGGCTGTCCTAGCAGAGCCAGAGGAGAAGCTGTTTGCACATGCAACGCCCCAGGGAAGACCCGTAACGCGGGAATGATACACGACCGATACCCTAAGGTCGGTCAATGTAGTGAAGATGTTCAACAAGTCCTCCATAAGGTGGTAAACACCAATTAGACCAGCCTTGCTGTTCGTTGTTTATGTATCAAGTATTTGATTTTTTGGTGGGGCCGTTCTATTTTGTTGACGACAAGTGCCCATCAATTACAATGGTTTTCTATCTAGTTATCTCACACCTACAGTTGTGTTGTAGGATAGTAATAGATTGAGTGAGGACTTCTCACTTGGGAGAAGGAGGTTCTACGGCGTGATAATAACGTTCAGAAGGTGATAATACAGTATACTGCATGATGTATGCACACTTTACAATATATATGGATGTGAAAGCACATTCGAAGATTGAGTCTGAACAATTGAAGAGATTAAATGATGAGGTAATCCGTGATGATGGTAGATGTAATAGATATAAGTCAGTGGGAGGCCATCATATGAGATAGGAGTTGGATTGTAGTTCGCTGCTTAGGGCACCCTCACAGAGTGAAGTATACATGCCTTGCTAGCGCGTTATGGAGAGGAGGATCCGTAGAGGACTTGTGTTAGTTGAGCCTCCAGCTTTGGTCCTCCCATTCTCGGGCGATGTGTGAATGAGCGTCGTAACTATTATCATCTGTGATACTTTATACTCGACATTGCGCGGCTATCGTGAATTAGGCCGTGATTCTGAGTTGAGGGGTGAGGTGGCGAGGATGCTGCTCGGACCACGCATGTGCAGAGACTACGTACTAGAACTTGCTACAGTGTGGATATTTGAGAGGTGCCCTACCATGGGATGTCGCGTCACCGTCTCCGAATGATCTCCTACGTACACCATCACAATAATTAACCCCACACAGCACCAAAGCTATTGAAGGAAACATCGAACTAGCACTCCTAGGTCTGGTTACTAACTCGATACCACCAAGATGTTGGGTCACACAAATCGTATACCACTATCATCGACTCCGTCAATCCAGCTATACAACAGAGCAGAGAACGTAAGGGACATAGCTAATGGCAAGACAGCCAGACGATGAGCAATGGTGCAAGGATGTGAGCCTTGCCAACAGCTCTCTTTAATTCTAGTCTATCCCCATATTATTTTCATACTAGTGAGACGATCTCCATCGGTAGAGAAGTTTCACGCGGGAACCTGCCAGGAACGCTTTGCACATGCGTGATGAATGCACAAGTTCATTGCTCGTCCGTTTGTTCACCGGTTGGACTCCAACCTTATTGTCTCTTCGTATATCCCTCCTGCGCATCGGGTTCATCATTAATCATGACCGTCGACAACATTGTATTGACCCGAAAAGTACTACTACCACCACTAGCTAGACACTCGTGCAGCTGTTGAGAGAACATGACACCTCTTCATGCCTGACCCGAGTGACCTGACTCACTCACCCCTCTTTGTGTTGCAGAGGCTTGGACTTGCTATTGTGGCTAAGTAAGGATGGAAGGCATCGGGATGCCTGATGGAACTCCTCCAGCCTGGGAAGAATGACGGATCATCATAGCAGCAGGATGATTTGGTATAAAAGGGGGGCAACAGACATCCTAGCGGAGGGAGGCATCGTAGGGTATGCAAAAGGTACAGGCGGTGGTTGGCGAAAACTGTTGTTGATGGTGGGAGTGAAGAGGGGGATGATGGACCGGAGGGGGCAGGCCGTGTTAACTGATCGGGCTCATCCTAGTTCTAGGACATTACATCCTCATCATCAATAAAACGATACTATAAGAACTGGAGGGCATATTGCCAAGCAGCCCCTCCCCCCGAGCTTACATACTCAATACTGTAGAAGCATATGATAGTGGGAGAATGATATATAGTAGCGGAGTGGAATACAGTATGCCTACCACTACCTTTAATGAGACTCAGTATTATTATTATCATCACAGAGAGCATAGCCACCAAACCGTAGCCATAGACCTCTTTTAATGGTAACCTTAATTCTAGTACCCAACTTGAATCGTATATCCATGACACCCTCCTTAGGCTGTAATATAACGGTAGCAAGTGTATCATCCTCTTGGATGGGTTCATGTGACAATACCTCTCTAGCTACCATATTACCCGCCTCATCCATCGACGAAGACTCCTTACCATCATGGGAGGGCTGGACAACACTACCCTCCCTAGCTACTGCTATTATCTCATTCAACTTGGCAAGCCTAACATGTGAGGACTCATTGACATCCTTGGGTATGTCCTCTGTTGATCTAATTAATGAAGTAGGCTGTGAGTGATTGGCTCTAAGAAGGAAATCCTCATCCTCCGTCCTGACTTCCCTAGTCCAGATATCCTCCCCGGCCATCTCAGCCTCTAATGCCATATCAGGATCATTACTACAGGTGATAAGGAGGGCAGCCGAGGTGAAGAGGCCTATACCACCCACAGCCCTCCTCAGCATACTCTCTATCTTAACTATGGTATCCAGTTCCCCCAATAGAACAGCCCACTGTAACACAGCCATGGGTAGGACCATAGGTGCTGCATCTGACTTCTCGCTACAAGAAGTAAAGACACGTTCGTATCCGTGACCAGCAGTATTATACAAATTATACAGGCTCATAGCAACCCCTCTACTATTGATACCGATAGGGCTGGCTATGCAGCCAACATCATACACAAGGGCCCAGTCATGCTGGCCTGTTGGTAGGTGGAGTAGATAACATGCATCATCTCTACCATGATTATAAGTATCACAGCTCATATCAACAGTTTGGGCACATATACCTTTCCTAGGCCAGGCAAAGCCAGTACACCTACCCTTCAATACTCGAGGGGAACAGCTTGAGGTACAATCAGGCTTATCCTCTGCTGGGTCACGGCTATTGGTAGCAGCATCCACCGCCTCCTCCTCCTTGCTTCTGCTAGCTTCTACTTGATGGACCTCCCTCACAGCGAATGTGCATATATCACAGTATTGAGGCTTATGAGCCAGCTTATAGCACTTATCACACCAAGAGCGGCACATACACTTCCTACGAGGTATATCCATTATCCTACTACGACATACCGAACATCTAGCTGCATATCTATATACATACATATCCATCTCATACATGGTCAACAGTTGCCATACAGATCCACCTAACTCCACCTCTGGACTATTCAATGACTCATTCATGCCATCAAAGAAATCATACAGTGACGGTGATAGGTGTTTGGTAGCTCTAGCAGCGGCAGTTGCTATAGCCTGCCATTTGTCTACCAGTTCGAGGGATGTCCATACCTCTAAGTCATCTTGGAAGGCCTTCTTACTCCTCTTACCAACATCAAGTGACATATTCTTCCCTAACTCGTAAAAGGTATCACCATGTATTCGGAATAATCTCTCATGCTCATTATCAACTGCTATCTTGCAACTAGATGAATGATGATGAGCATTGGATATTGACGATGACGATGGGGGTGGTGTGGCTGTATAAACTACCGAGGCAGGGTGTATGTCCCTGGATGGTGAGGGCATGAGGAAACGGAGAAACAACAAGAACTCACATTAGGTTACCAAAAGATGGCCTCCAAACGCAAAGCCATGATGGTAGTGAATATGTTACGTAAGGGATAGAGAAACACACAATACCCACAGACTACTATCCATTCAACAATACTGGGGGAGAGGAGGAGGAGCACCAAGAAAAAGAGCTACACCAAACGTGTACTGCTCGTAGGTGTTGTTGTTTCACCGGACACGTGGACTGTACTCTAATACGGAGAAGCACGATACTGTTGTTGTTGTGGTGGCAATTGGCCAGGATAGGGTTGTTGTTGTTGCTGTTGCTGATAGGGTACCCGAGAGTACTGCTGCTGCGGGTACATACCTTGAGTGTAGGGCGTATCATACCTAGCAAGGTAGATCAATGTGTCGATAGTCAAGACTACTACTACTACCTTCCACCACCATCACCACGGCTAAAGGACCCTCCTTCCCTTCTAAACTGACCGTACTGAGGCCCTGGTGATTGGTATCTACTACAAATATTGCTGCTACTAGTATGGTAACTCTTACTGGTATTGCCGAGTATTATCATAAGCCTCCCTCGTTGGGTACTCTCCTCTCGAAGGCCTCCCTCCTGGGCCACAAACCGCCGGATCTCTAGTGGCAGGTTTCACATCGAACTGAACATGATGATGATGAGATAGAGATACTCCTTACAGCCCTGTTAATACTACTACTACCCATTGGCCATCAATAGAGTTGTTACTGCCACCATTACACGCTGCTTGGGCCTCTTCTGGTGTACTATAGGTGCAGTAGGCAAAGCCTCTAGGACGGGCAGTAACACGATCGGTCATGATGATACAGTCTACAATTCTACCATACTGTGACATAACCTCTTGTAATCGGCCTGTCAGCAGCTAATGTTAAGGACCGTACCATACTGTACACGAGTATTACCATTATCAACAGAAGCAGGCACTCCCCCAATGAAAACCTTAGATGGATTGTCCCCACCGACAGCACTACTGCCATTAGGGGACGATGCTCCAAACGTCGATGATGGACGTCGACGACGATTGTTGGCATCATAACTTCGTAGGGGCCTGAGGTACTACTCATTGAGGGCTCTACTTCCATTATACTGTACTACCCAGATGGGATATCCATTGCCACACCACTACCCCCTGCACGGTGCGAGGGTAGAGGGGAGAACCTGAATACAATGATACACATGGATACGTTACATATGCGCTATAGCAAGAGAGCGAAAAGCCTATGATAACCACCATGAGAAGCTAAGAGGATATCACTACTGCCAGAAGCGTATTAGTCACCTACACTATGCTACTCCTATGAATACTAAGAGTGAGGTACCTACCCTGGGGGAGGACCCGACGACGACGATGATGCACGGAAACCCGATCCTGGTGCACTTGAACCTCGAGTAGCTATCTTTACATCAACCTAGACTATGACCATGAAGAAGCTGCTGAGTGATGGAGAGGGAGAGAGAGCATAGCCTAGATCACGATACCACCAGTGCTATGTCTACTGTACGCAGCCATGACGGCCAGGACTACTCACTAATAGTATCAGAGTTATCCTCCTCATACTACTATAGTTGAGTATGATGACTATTACTCTGAGTACTGAGTTCTGAGTTCATTACTACTACCCATTTGCCGTCGAGTATATTCGCATCCCCAGCATTGATAGCAGTCTGTGCTTCCTCAGCGGTAGAGTAGGTAACATAGGCAAATCCTCTAGGTTTGCCGGTAATCCTATCCTTCATTACCACTGAATCTACTATATTCCCATACTGGGAGAAGAATTGGTCGAGTCGACCTGAACAATAGATGCTTCCAAATACACCTCGATACGATGGTAGTACCTTGGTCCAAGTCCGATGGTATACCACCAATGAACAGCTTGCATGGGTTGTAACCATCAGAAGGAGATGCGAGCGATATACCATCACCAACAGGAGGAACAGGAGGAGCACCATACTTACTAGAGTAACCCCCTTCATACATGTAGTCACCGCCCTTACCCTTACCCATGGGAGGGTACCTAGTCATCATAATGAGCTCTTGCGAGGAGTGGTAGTAGTAGTACGTTACCTCCTGTCCCCTCCTGATATACGACCCCCACTCTGAGGATGGCACCCACCAGCCCCCTCTATCATTGCTCTCTTAACATCAATCATCTTATCCATTAACACATGTGGACCACTCCCCAGACAACACTGCATACACGTGGCAATGCTGATATCATCACCATACACTACTAGTAGTATTACCTCAGTAGCTTCAAGAGTGGTATAGGTGACGAAGCCAAAGCCTCTAGTCCTGCCAGTAAGCCTATCAGTCATTACTATTGAATCCTCTAATACACCATACTGCCCAAAATAAGCATCAAACTCCTCTCTACCACACCCTGCTGGTAGACCTCCTACAAATAACTAGAGGGACAAGGACGACGTAAATACCAACTATTACTATACCCTCTCAGTACCTTGCGCTCTTGCCTATCCGAACCATCCCCCATAGTAGGCTGTAGTGGAGCTGCTGAGGCATCGAGGCCAAGAGGAGGAGCAGGTGCCCTCCCCCGTATAGTGTTGGCTCCCATTGTCGGCGCCGTGAATGGTTCTTGCTGATAGGACGCCATACAAGAGAATGATGAAGGACTCTGCAGGAGGAGTGGCTCATGGGGATCCGTTTCTATTGTAACCATAACACGGATACCACAACGATGGTGATGATGATGATCGCATGATGATGTTTACAAATGGTTACGGCCGCGACACTAACGTCGTCGTCAAATGTAGGCGGCGGCACGACGGGGCATCATGGGGTAGTACGACGAAAACACTCACGGGTGCTGATGGTAACACTCTATGGTCACAACAACGTTAGCAACGACGATGACAACGACGACAACAACAATGATGATCATGATGATGGCAATAACAGTCAATGAACGGAAACGATCGACTACTGCTACACAACAAGGAAAAGAAGGAGGAGGAGGATGAGGATAGCAAATGCATCATAGGACGATGATTGGTAGAGAACCACGATACAATTGATGTTAGAGCGGCGGTGGCAACCTAGTAGGGCCCAGACCGATACTGTTGTTGTTGATGAGGGCCTTGTGTTGGCTCTTGTGGTGGTTGTTGTTGTTGGGCGTACTGGAATGCACCAAACATGGGGCCACCCATTGGAGGTGGCATAAACCCCATACCCGTCGATGTCGGAGGGTTAGTGATAGGACCAACAGGATAAGGCAATTGTGGGGGGAACCGTTGATGTCCATGGGGGGAAGGCAACATCTGCGTCATGACATACTGCTGTTGTTGTGATGATGATGGTTGCAATACTGGTACCATACCAGGAGGTGGCTGTTGGGTGGAGTAGGAAGTAGTAGGAGGCATCGGTGAGAAGGCAGGAGGCTGAGCATATGCCTGTGGAGGCTGCTGCTGCTGCGGATGATGATGATAGAAAGGACGTGTGATTCCATTGTATGGTCCAGTAGTAGACGGCGGTAGCATCATAGACCTGAGAGGAAGGGGATGCATCCCTACTGATAGTAGTCATGCTGTATTACTGTTGGGGCCTTATGTGTGTAGATCCTCCTGTAGTAGAGGGTAGGACATACTGTGATGGGGAGGGGTAGGCCATACCCAACTGTTGAGGTACTACCTCTTGATTCATGGGTATGAACGTACCAGGTGGAGGAGGAGGTGGAGGTGGAGGGGGAGGAGCAGGTAAGGATGATGAAGTAGCTGTTGTCGACTGCTGCTGCTGCTGTTGCCTCGTTGATGGTGATGGTGTAGTAGTCTTGTCGGGTACAGTGTTCTCATATTGAGGAGTACTCACAGACTCTAGTACTTGCTGTCCACTTTCAGCCCCATCTCCACTATTCACCACAGTAACGCCGCCCTCTTGCCGCCCTCCTCCTGTTGTTGCTGCTTCAGGTGGTGGCTCTTCTTCCGAATTACCCCGATCTTCTTCTTCTTCATCCTTCTGAGACTGTTGCTTATCTATAGGAGATAAGCCCCTTCCTATCCCCTGTAAAGGATCATCATCTCTCTGTTGCATATCCCCCTGTTGCTGGTCTCCATCCTCATCCACCCCCTCGGCATGCTGCTGCTGCTCCTGCTGTTGCTGCTCTCCCTTTAGTTCTTCTTGTTTTGTCTCCTGTCTCCTCCATGAAGACCTGACATTGGACCTACACCGAGATGAAATAGCGAAGATCCGTTGCTACTACCCAGCAGAGGGAGAGGTATCCCGCCATCGCCACCGACCCTCTCGTCTATAGGATGATGAAGGTGGTGGTGGTGGTGGTGGTGGTGGTATACGCTGACGGTGTGACCGATAGTATACAGCATTACCAACAGCAGGAGTCTTGGAGCTATAACTACTGCTGCTGATGTTGCCACTACCATTACGGTAGTAAGTACCACCAGTTTGTTGAGTAGTAGACTGGAAAGCCTTCCCCACGTGCTCCATACTACGGGATGAGGGCTTCACTTGTACCTTACAGTAGTTGCTAGTGATCATCATCATAATTACTATGCATCATGAGGGGATCTCCCTTCCTCACCCATTTGCCATCTATAACATTATCCCCATTGATTGCTGCTACTGCATCCTTATCATTACCAAAGGTTGCATAAGCAAAGCCCCTATGTCTACCAGTATTCCTATCGTACATAACAGTAACGTCCTGTACATCCCCATACTGAGATAAATACTCAGTAACACGATCTGAGATCATCATCAACATGAGGAAGTGGCAACAATAGTAGCGGCATCTCTTACTCTGATCAGCTGACTGTGGAAGGCCACCTAGGAAAACTTTACACGGGTCGTCAGAGAACCTAAAGTCAAGACCACTTTGGTACAATACAGCGGAGTAGGGATACCGACTCCTTTTGCTGCTGCTGCTGGTGGTGGTGGTGCTGGGGCTTCGGACCTGCTTGGCTGGGAGGCTCGTCCTTCTGTGATTGTTGTTGTTGTTGGCATCGATACACAGTGCTAGAGGTAGGCTTGGACGTGTCCATGGAGGGGAACTCAAGCCGAGTGCAGGGCTTTACTTCAACCTGAAGGAGGAGGAGGAAGGAGTGAACAACAACAAGTGAGAAGAGGAGGCAGCACTGTGAGACTTACTACCCAT